ATCTTAACTAAAGATCAGATCTGTGGAGAGGCAAGCCCACTCACAGTATGAACACACGCACAGAGACATTCCAATCCAAATCCACTTTATTTTTCACATTTTTCCACATTTCACAAACAATTTCCAAAGTGTTCCAAGTGCAAAGTTCATAGTGTGGAACATTCCAGATCCAGAAAAGTTACACAGTGTGCCTTTAATTATAATTCCTGGAAAATATCTTTATCTCTATCCTGATTTTAGTTGAATAACCTGCACACTTATTATAAATCTGTTTTGTTTTACGCAATTCTCATTTGAATTTGAAGAGACAAGAGTATAAATTGTGCTCTGGTATATTTAGAAATTTAAACAGAAACAGAAATTTGTAGAATATTTTCATATATTTCTCAAAATTAAAAGAAAAAAAGATAATTAATATTGCTTAAGTATATGTCAATATCTAAAAAAAAAAAAGAGGAGAGAACCAGTTTTGTATTAAATTGTCAAAAGTCACTCACCTCTGTTTGGTTCAAATTCACAATCAGTGGCTTCTGGTTCAGTCCTGGTTAAATCCTGGTTTAGTCCTGGTTTAGTCCTGGTTTAGTCCTGGTTTAGTCCTAGTTTAGTCCTAGTTTAGTCCTGGTTCAGTCCTGTATAAGAGCTCCATGTCTCTGAGTGGAGTTGTTTTCACTCAAAGTCTGTGTCTGTCTCAGGACGTCCCATTTGACTATTCTGACACTCCTCTTCCTCCTCCTCTCCTCCTCTCTCTCTCTCTCTCCTACTCCACCCTTTTCCCTCTCTCTGTCTCTCCCACCCTCTTCTATCCCTCCCTTTTCTTCCTCTTTCTCTCTCTCCTCCTCTTCCATACCCTTTTCTTCCCACCACTCTCTTCTTCTCTCTTCTTTCCTTTCTCCTCTCTCCATCTTTCCCACTATCAATCATCTCTCCCTCTTTTTCCTCCCTCTCACACGCTCTCGATTCCCTCTCTCTCTTTCTCTCTCCTCCACTCCTTAATCTTCATCACAGTCCTCATCAGGCGCAGACCCACTTCCTGTTTCCTGCTCACACCAAAACAAACAAAATGGACGCCCACAGCTACAGAAACAAAGTCCAAAAAAAAAAAAAGTTCAATATCGGTGGAAAAAAAACTAAAAAACTGCAATAATATAAATGTGCATTCCCTTGTGTCCTTGGGCGAGACACTTTACTCATCTTTCCTGTGTGACTGAGAGGCCCTTTGGTAATCAGAATCAGGCCCAGGGCAGCTATGACTACACAAGACCAAAGTCCAGTCCAGAATCTGATCCCGGTCTAAGTCCTGGTCTGGTCCTAAGTAGAGTCCTTACAGTAGAGTCCATGATGAGGTCTTGGCCGGTCCTTAATCCTGGTCTAGAGTCCAGTTTCAGGCTGTGTTCACACTTGTGCACACTCATCGCATTAAAATTGGGACTAAACCAGATCCAAACCTGGACTAGATCAGGACTAAAAAAAAAGGATTGTAAGTCCAAGTTCCAGTGAAATGGGCTCAGTTTAGTTTAGTGAACATACCTCCTGGTTTAGTCCTGAGTTAGTCCTGGTTTAGTCCTGGTTCAGTCCTGGTTTAGTCCGGAGTTAGACCTGGTTCAGTTCTGGTTTAGTCCAGAGTTAGACCTGAGTTAGACCTAGTTCAATCCTAGTTCAGTCCTAGTTCAGTCGGGAGTTAGACCTGGTTCAGTCCTAGTTCAGTCCTGGTTCAGTCCTGGTTCAGTCCTGGTTCAGTCCTGGTTCAGTCTTGGTTCAGTCCTGGTTCAGTCTTGGTTCAGTCCTGGTTTAGTTCGGAGTTAGACCTAGTTCAGTCCTAGTTAAGGCCTGGTTTAGTCAGAGGTTAGATCTGGCTTGGTCCTGGTTTAGTCCTGAGTTAGAACTGGTTCAGTCCCAGATCAGTCCGGGTTTACTACGGAGTTAGATCTGATTCAGTCCTGGTTTAGTCCGGAGTTAGACCTGGTTTAGTCCTAGTTCAGTCCTGGTTTAGTCCGGAGTTAGACCTGAGTTAGACCTGAGTTCAATCCTAGTTCAGTCCTAGTTCAGTCCGGAGTTAGACCTGGTTCAGTCCTAGTTCAGTCCTGGTTTAGTCCGGAGTTAGACCTGGTTCAGTCCTGGTTTAGTCCAGCTTTAGGCCTGGTTCAGTCCTGGTTTAGTCCCGAGTTAGTCTGGAGTTAGTTCAGGTTCAGTCCTGGTTTACTAAGGAGTTAGACCTGGTTTAGTCCTAGTTAAGTCCTAGTTTAGTCAGAGGTTAGATCTGGCTTGGTCTTGGTTTAGTCCTGAGTTAGAGCTGGTTCAGTCCTAGTTCAGTCCTGGTTTAGTCCGGAGTTAGACCTGGTTCAGTCTTAATTCAGTCTTGGTTTAGTCTGGAGTTAGATCTGGTTCAGTCCTGGTTTAATTTTGAGTTAGACCTGGTTCAGTACTAGTTCAGGCCTAATTTAGACCTAAGTTAGACCTGGTCCAGTCCAGGTCCAGTCCAGGTCCAGTCCAGGTCCATTCCTATTGAAGGAAAAAGGGTGGAACAGGAAATAACAGAAAGTGAATCAGCTCTGAGTCTCAGGCCTCTGGGATTAATGCTCTCTTTGTGTGGGTGCAGGGGTCTCTTGCTTAGTCCTGGTTTAGTCTGGGTCAAGTCCTGGTTCAGTCCTGGTTTAGTCCTGGTTAAGTCCTGGTTAAGTCCTGTTTGGACTTGGTTTAGACCTGGTTTAAACTGTAGGTCCCCAATTGGTTCCAAAGGTAAAATGATCTCAAAATTATAGTTGTTTTGGTGGCTTATCTAGTCCTGATTTATTCCTGGTTTAGTCCTGGTTTAGTCCTAGTTTAATCCTGGTTTAGTCCTGGTTTTAGATCCCACTATTGGCCCCCTTTTGGTTAATTGGTTCCAAAAGTGAATTGGTCTCAAAATTATAATTGTTTTTGTTGATTATCTAGTCCTGATTTGGTTCTAGTTTAGCCCTGGTTAATCCTGGTTTAGACCTAGTGTAGTCCTGGTTTAGTCCTGGCTTTAGACCCCACTGTTGGTCCCCGTTTTGGTTAATTGGTTCCAAGGTGAATTGGTCTCAAAATTATAATTGCTTTTATGGTTTATCTAGTTCTGATTTGGTCCTGGTTTAGACCTAGTTAAGTCCTGGTTTAGTCCTGGTTCATTCCGGATTTAGACCTAGTTTAATCCTGATTTAGTCCTGGTTTAGACCTAGTTTAGTCCTGGTTTAGTCCTGGTTTAAACCCCACTCTAGGTCCCCATTTTGGTTCATTGGTTCCGAGGTGAACTGGTCTCAAAATAGTTTAGTCCCTGTTTAGTCTAAATTCAGTCCAGGTTTCGCTCCATTTGCGTGTGAACGTACTCTTTGTCCAGACCTCAGTCCAGTTCCCAGACCTAGTCCAGTTGTGACACAGTCCTGGTTTAGTTCTAGATTAGACCTGTATACTTAACTCCATGTTTCGTAACTGATCTTGAGTCCCTCCAGGGTTCAGCAGGTGCAGATTTGTTATAAAAGTAGTCTATTGTTTTTGTTTTCGTGGCTGTTTTTGCACACAGCCCTATGCTCTATTCTGGGTGCGTTACCGTGGCAATGAATCATGTTTTTTTTTAAGTGGAACCTTTCATTTTGTGGTTTGAGCAGCTCAGACCAGTGTCCGACTCACACAAACACAACTCAACCAAGACAAACACTACAGCTCTCCTATCACACCGCTCTGCACGCAGAGGCTGAAATGGACCGGGTTTAGCTCTGGTTAGGTCCTGGCTTAGTCCAGGTTTAGTCCAGGCTTAGTCCTGGTATTGTCCACATTTGGTCCAGGTTTTATCCTGGTGTAACCCTGGTTTAGTCCTGTTTTATACCTGCTTTAGTCCTGGTATAATCTTGGTTTAGTCCTCGTTTAGATCTGATTTAGTCCAAGTATTTAGTCTTAGTTTAATCTTGGGTTTAGACCTTGCTCAAAACTGGTATAGTATTGGTTTAGACCTGATTTAGTCCTAGTATTGTCCAGATTTAGTCCTTGTATAGACCTGGTTTAGACCTGGTTTAGTCCTGGATTAGTCCTGGTTTAGTCCTGGTTTAGACCTGTTTTAGACCTGGTATTGTTCAGATTTGGTCCTGGTTTAGTCCTGGTTTAGTCCTGCTTTAGTCCTGCTTTAGACCTGGTTTAGTTCTGGTTTACTCCTGGATTAGTCCTGGTTTAGTCCAGGTTTAGACCTGGTTTAGTCCTGGTTTAGTCCTGGTTTAGACCTGGTTTAGACCTGGTATAGTTCAGATTTGGTCCTGGTTTAGTCCTGCTTTAGTCCTGCTTTAGACCTGGTTTAGTTCTGGTTTACTCCTGGATTAGTCCTGGTTTAGTCCAGGTTTAGACCTGGTTTAGTCCTGGTTTAGACCTGGTTTGGACCTAGTATTGTCCAGATTTGGTCCTGGTTTAGTCCTGGTTTAGTCTGCTTTAGACCTGGTTTAGACCTGGTATTGTCCAGATTTGGTCTTGGTTTAGACCTGGTTCAGTTCTTGATTAGACCTGGGTTAGTCCTGGATTAGTCCTAGTTTCAAGACTAAAATAACAAAAAAACAACAAAAACGAAACTTGTATACATTTCTGTGGCATTTTTCAAACTGAGAATTATTTTCAGAAACAATAAAAGGACAGATTTACACGGTGAGCCAGTGAGCCCATGACACCACAGAAATGCATATCGTGTATATTTAGACGACATGGGAGAACAGAAATGCACAGGGCTTATCTGGTTATGTTCTGGAGTCAGTCAAACTAAAGACACTGCTGGAGTTAAGTCAGTAGAGCTGAGTTTCACATGACATCACAACATCCTGTAGACCCGGGCTGGGCAATTCTGTTTTCCATGGGGCACATGAGAAACAGAAAATATTGTCCTTAACTCAATTCTGCATAATATTAATTGCATTTTGGGGATTACACAGATATAATGACACATGAGAATAGAAAAGAAAACCATTTAATGTGGAAAATCATATTCTATCGGCCCTATTCATGCTTACCAGGAGACGTTTGGAAACATGTGGATGACGATTTCCGATGTAGTTCCCGACACTGGACATGTGATAAAAGCCTGGATTCAGCAGCAGCGTCTTCACAACCTGACAAATCTTTCCCTGGGGGACTTCGATGTCACTCACAGGCAGCTGGTTGATCTGCTGAACATAACGGAACACTACAATGACATCTTTTTTTTAAGTTAGACAAATTATAATACACAAACTAATAGGCAATTTATAAAAGGAAAAAAAGAAAGAAGACTACGACAACTAGATGAAGAAAACTGGGCCATTTTCTCAGTTTTCCCAGATTTTATTGTCTGCAGAGCCCAAAGGAAGTCGTCATCTGCATGTTTCCAAACGTCTTCTAGTTTTGTGATATAAGCGTGAACAGAGGTCATTGTCTAAAGCGCGGGTCTTCAACATTTTTTCTCTGGTGAGCTACATATACAAAATGAAAATCCCAGAGAGATACTAGTTTTAGCGGTCGCAAGAAATTGAGTAAATAAGTCACGGTGAGATTTGTGGTACAGTTAGATGCCTATAAAACATAAACCATTATCCATTTAGTGTCCACACATGCACAGTGGTAACAGGCATTTCATTAATAAAATTTAGTTTATTCAGCACAATCCATGTAATTCAGAAATCCACTGGAGAGCTACTTGGAAAGTTTGGAGAGCTCCCAGCAGATCCCGAGCTACAGGTTGGAGATCCCTGGTTAAAAGAAAGAGTGCTTTTTTATTTATTATCATCACGGTATTGGAATCGGTATTGAGTATCGAGTTTACTCCGTAATAGGACTGGGTATCATTAAGAAGTCACTAATACGATACATAGGCCACGATATGATGCATATCTCAATACAGTGCACTCTCGATTCAATACAATATATTTCAAATCGATTCAGTAGGGTTCAGTAGAAAATAAAGGCTAAATCATGTCTGTGATACAAAAAGTCTTTGTTAAACCACTTCCTGTGGTTTAACAAACAAAGTTCAAACAAAACAAAGTTCATATGAAACACAAACATTTTAATCCTCAAAACTGTGAAAATCTCAAATGTGTAGCTTAAAAAAGTTTCCTTCCTCCAAACAAAGAACAAAAACATAGAGCTATAAGAAAATAATTTAACAAAATATACCAAAAAGTACTTTAGGTGATATATGAATACAGCAGCCCACGATATCGATACTGTATCATCACATTAAACGATACGATATATGGATATTTCAATATTTTTGCACATCCCTACTCCTTAATATCCTTTAGCGTCCACTCCTTAATATTGTTTAATATCGTTTAGCACAGGGGTCATCAAACTAAGGCCCGCAGGCCAACTGCAGCCCTCCACGCCCGATCCCCTGACCCTTTGACTGACCCCCCCAGCCCCTCTGCCCCAACACTTGAACTGGCCCTGAGGCAATCCTCAAAAGTGTCATGGCCTACTTTTTTTAATTACTTTCTGGCAAATAACAACACAACTTTGTCTTGTATTCTGTTGATTTTTTCAATTAAAAGATGACATTTATATGAAGTATTTATATTTAAATCATTATATGACGTATTCACATTTGCTGCCAAATTTTCATCACCTGACAAACTCGAGATCAAACAGTGACAGTTAACGCACGTGCAGAGTTCTGTAGTGCAGTTAAGGACAGAAAAACAGCAAGTGTTACACTGCGACTACGAAACTTGAGTAAGAAAACTTGACAGTGTTGAGTTTTCAAAGAACAGTGAACGACCGATTCTTTTTTTGTCTGATATGTAAAGAAAGTGTCACCGTTTTCAAAAAACATAATCTGCGTCGTATAACAATTCTGTTATACGACCGACCTGCCCCCTGCCCCCATCACAGTCAGAAGAGATAATGTGGCCCCCAGAGAAAAACGTTTGGTGACCCTGATTTAGCGTCTACTTCTTAATATCATTTAGTGTCTGCTCCTTAAGATCGTTTAAGATCGTTTAGTGTCTAATCCTTAATATTGTTTAATATCGTTTAGTGTCTACTCCTTAATATCGTTTAATATTGTTTTAGTATTGTTTAATATCGTTTACTGTCTACTCCTTAATATCATTTAATATCGATTAGTGTCTTCTCCTTAATATCATGTTTAATATTGTTTTAATATCGTTTAGTGTCTACTCCTTAATATTGTTTAATATCGTTTTAATATCGTTTAGTGTCTACTCCTTAATATCATTTAATATTGTTAAATATCGTTTAGTGTCTATTCCTTAATATCGTTTGGCGTCTATTTCTTAATATCGTTTAGTGTTTAATGTTTAGTGAGCAGCACTTGGGTCTAGTCACTAAACACTGGAAATACCAAATACCAAAGACCATTTTTTACCACTCTACCATCTACTAAAGAAGTTCTGAATTTTCTACACATTATAGAAGTCTTGACATCAGCTAAATATATACAAAGGCTGAGTGTTTGACGTGCGTTCTTGCCTCGGCCCTGTCCTCCTCCTGACCCTATGGAAAAACATACCACACATTCTCCAATTTAAGTCATTTAAAAACAAGAGGCCAAACAATGAGGAGTCTAACCCACAACCTCCCCACCGAGAGAAGGAGCCGGGCTAACCACTCTGCCACGGTCCATTGCGTAACGTGTTTGTGGTTAAATGTTTTCTGTGACTAATCCTGTCCGTATTATTGTATTTCGTTTTGTTTCATGATATTGCGGTGGTCAGATTTTCCGGGTCCAGTCCTCTCCCCTCGGACACTCACTTTTTCCAATTAAACACAACACTGGCTCTGTGCAGCACGGTGGAAAACTGGACAGGAATTCTGCTGATCGTTTACAGCTGATGTCATCAACGTTCTCTAGGGGTGTGATGCTAACTGGAAGCACTACTCGGTCTGAAGCTCTGTTACTCAAATTAGACTCAGGGTTCCCCACTCTTTTTCACTGACAACATTTCAAAACTTTTCCAAGACTTTTTCATGACCTAAAGTGAATTTTCCATGACTTTACAGCACCTTCACTTTTAGGGCTAAATATGAAATGTGAACTCTTTCCACTCACCTTATGGTTTGAGATGATAGTTTTTTAACATTCAAAATACTGTCAGTTAGGGATGAGCAAAAATATCAAAATATCGATATATCGTATTGTTTAATGTGAGGATACAGTATCAATATCGTGGGCTGCTGTATAGATATATTGAGTATTTGTTGGTATATTTTACTAAGTCCGAAAGAGCCAATATGAGCTCAGAGGCATGACCATGTTTATCAAAAAGAAAATCACAACAAACATTTGAAATTTTGTAAATCTGTTAAAGAGCTGGAGCTGTGGAACAACTGTACAGAAAACCTCAAATTGTGCACCAGTCTCTTTCACCTTATAAAGAAGTTTAAATGTTTAACTCTGGACAGATACATGAAATATGAGACTTAGTTTGTGCTGTAGAACTTTGTTGTTCTGTTTCTGATTTGTTTGTTTCCTCCTGCTGTATTTTTGAAGATGAACTGGTGTCAAGATGAAGCTCTGACAAAGGAATAAAGGGTAAAGGCAGAATAAGCTTAAGCTTCAGCCTGCACCTTTTCAGTCTGTGTATGTTAAATATCACTGTTTGTGAATTAATGTCAAAATATACCTGTGACCGAAATAAATAAATAAAATAAAAAATATATTTTGTTACAGCTACAGATTTGTTGTTTGTTCAGAGAAAGGAAACTCATTTATGTGACACATTTGACCTTTTCACTGTTTTGATGATGATAAATGTTTGTTTCATATGAACTTTACACAAGAAGTGGTTTAACAAAGACTTTTAGAATCACAGCCAGGATTAAGCCATTGTTTTTTACTGAACAATATGGAATCGATTTTAAATATACCGTATTGAATCGAAAGTGCGCTGTATTGAGATATGTATCGTATCGTGGCCTATGTATCGAGGTATGTATCGTATCGACAACTTCTTACTGATACCCAGCCAAAGTGTCAGTGCATTTATTGTTGTCTCTTTTCAGATGTTCAGAAATAATCAGAATAGCCTCATGAGAACTTAACAGTACGCTGGAGTTATGTGAAAGAGATACTAAAATTTCATGACTTTTCCAGGCCTAGAAAATGACATTTTCAATTTCCATGACTTTTCCAGGATTTCCATGACCGTGGAAACCCTGTTCAGTTTTATCTGAGCTTTATTTGAACATAATCTGACCAGAAAGAGCTGACTGAGATGATTTGTGCTGTGAATCAAGTCTCTCACACATCAAATTACAGACACAAGTGAGCCAAGAGTTTTTCAGCGAGTCGCTCTCACCTTTTAGTTCAAAATCAAACTCCTAAACAGAACTACGAACACTCGGACTGATCACAGGCTCCTGAAAATGTTTCAGTCTGAACATTTTCAGACTGTTTTAAAGCTTTTTAGTGTGCATTCTGTCACAGTGGTAAATGCTGAACATTCCACCATAGAGATATATGTAAAACACCCCCAGCGTTATGTCACCGCAAAGTATCAAGAGAATTGAATCTACTGTGACAAATGAGTTAGGTTGTGTCTTTGGGGTAGAATAATGGGGATGAATAATAATTTCTGAGGCAGTTGTGAAAAAAATCATTTGACTTTAGTTTATTTCTCCTGACAGAGACACTGAACTTTGTGCCTGTTTGGTTTCATGTGGATAGGCCCAGTGATCAAAGAGATATGAGCCATAAACCAGGTCAAGAAATCTGCATCTGACAGTCACACAGCAAACTCCACCTGAGAACTCTGACCTGTCTCCAGCTCTGCTTAAACTATACTTTAAATGGGTAAATGTGTTTCTAAACTCAAATAATCTGACTAAATCTGCAAATGATACAAATTAAAAAGAAAAAAAAAGATGTAAAAAAAACTATAGTTTTGATTAACTGAATGTCAAACTACAACATAAAATGACCCACGTTACAAGAGTCCTTTTCATTGTCCAGAGATTGTCCACAGAACTTAAACCTGTCCTTCTTTTCTTTCTTTCTCACTCTTATCTCTTGCTCTTGGTGAATTCCTTGCGCCCTCCTCCGTCCTTCCCAAAGTTCCGGACTCGGTGGATCCGTCTGATCTGGTCCTGGATGGTTTGGAGGATGTCCATGTGGTCTGGGATGTGCACGTACCTGAGGAGAGACGCACTGTTAAGGACACTTGACAGTTCATAAGAAACAAGAACGAACGTTTGCTTTTGCACATGGGGCTGCTCTTGTAGCTCCTACATTCAAACACATTTTAAGTATCATGTTATGTTACTTTAAAGCTTTCGTTTATCTGTAATTAGACTGGCTGCCCTGCCACTCTTCTATTCTCACATCTCAACACTAGTGCAGCCTACATTACTACTAAGTCTGGTCAAGAGGTAACGGAGGGAAACAGGGGCAGGGTTTTTTACTTTCAAATGTCTCTTATTCAGAAACTAGAGGGACTATTGAAATAAGTAAAGTATCAGAATTAGGAAAGAGTTACACTCCAACAGGGTCAAGTTAAACCTGTGATATTCTTTCAAGTTGTTGACAAAAAATTTAAAAACTCATGTCAGTAACGGAGGGAATGAAATATGCAGCACTTTTTGGGCAATAAATCCAAACAGTGATAACTCTTGGTTCTCACTTCCATATCCTTAACAAACTGGTTTGAATATTTGCTTCATATAGTTTTCTACCATATGGTACAAGATTAGGTTGAAAAACCTCTTAGTTTTTGAGTCATGAGATTTTTTATTAAGAAAGGTCATGGTAACGGAGGGAAAAGTAACGGAGGGAAAATTGTGCAAACAAGTAGAAGGTGCAGGATTTTACATCATTTGTCAACTTTTTTCTTCCAAATACTTTAATATTACTTCAAAATGAAAGGAAACTATTTCTATAAAATATGTCAGTCCTTCCAAGCAAATTTTTATCATTTTAAATACATTGTTTTTTGAAAAATCATGTACCTTCATGAACAGTTCAAAGATGGAATAACACAAGATATGATGAAATACATCCATTTATTTACATGATTTGCAGGTCTTTGAAATTAGGGAAATCATTTTTGTTCCATGTTTCATACATGGTCTGTTTAAAACATATGGAACTTTAGAACCAAAAATGATACAGAAAAAAGGTCAACAGTTTCATAAACTAGAGTACATATGTATCTGTTCAATACATTTTTATATCAGATGCATTAACTTGAATTTTTGGCCTTGCTGTTTACTTCTGCTTGACCGGGCCCTACTGGGAGTATGAGATCATTCTAGAATCTGAAAACTACAATATTAATTTTTTAAATAACAGAACCGTACAGTATTGGTATCGTGGGCTGCTGTATCAATATTGCCAAGAGTATTTTTAGGTATATTTTACTAAATTATTTTGTGTACGAGCTACAGTTGTGTTGTGTTGACACTGGTTTGATGAGTAAAATGGGTGTTTATCATATTAACTTTGCACGAACTTAGTGGACTTAAAGACTTTCAGTATCACTTTGGGGTGTATGAAAATTTTGATTCAATGATATATTGTGATACTTCATTGCCCAATTCTCAAATCAATTCAAAATGCATGTGAATCGATTTTTTAAATAATATTTTTTCAAAAATTCATTAGTTACATTCACTGTTTTGATGATTTAAACATTTTTATAAATATTTCATACAACTGTGTTCTCGTGAAGGTGCAGTGTGTGACTGTATTAATAGAAGTAATTATTGATAAATCGCAATATATTGTCCTATGTTTTTGTATCAGTATATATCCTGATATATTGAATCGTGACAGGCATATCAAGATATGTATTGTCAGACTCATGGCAACGCACACAGTAGTATCACAGCCATGATCTAGCCTTTGTTTTCTACTGAACTGAATCGAATTGTACTGAATCAAAATGTATAGTACAGTGGCCTATGTATCGAGGTATGTTTTGTATTTGCAACTTCTTAGCCCTAGTAATTTGTACCTGACGTTCCTCCCGGTGATGAACAGGTCCTGTAGCCGAGTTTCCCTTCCCCTCCTGTCTCTGAACTGCACATCACACAGTCTGATGTTCATGAAGGCGTCCACGTTCACCACTCTGCCGCGCGCACTGCTCTCGTCCCTCAGCTCCACCGTGGTCACCTGACCCTGCACGCCCTGCAACAGCACCACCAAGCTGTTCTCCGCGATACTGCGCTCGCGGATGGAGTTACACACCTCCCCGAAGACAGCGGAGGAGCCAGAGGCCTCCTCCTCTCGGTCCATCAAGGAGAGAGGAGAGGAGAGGCGATCTGTGAGGGGAAAAAGATGGGAGAATTATTACAAAGTAGAGCTGCAAGATGAATCACAATTAGCAAATTGCAAAGGCTGCAAAAGTACCACAATTTCCTCCACAAACAAAATCTTCTATCTTATTCTGCATAAAAACGGCTGACCATGTAGTTTAGATCTGTACAATTATGTTCTGAAATGTGATTCTTGTATTTGTCAGTTCAGATTTCAGTCTTTCAATTCTTCTTGATGTGTTTATAATGTGAAGTTTAACAGAATTCTATTATTAAATCAACAAACCACAAGTCTAATCTAATAAGTAAGGTATTAAACTTAAACTATGTCCATGGAGATAAGCAGGTGACACCAGCAGCCTAAAGTGCAAAAAACAGTTTTTAAATTGCTATTGCTGTGTTACAAAAACATGCAAACAATTTCTCTAAAATAACATAGTTTAAAGGTCATGTTACACTGCTTTCTGGTCTATGTTATACTGTTGTTTCATTCACATGAGTTCTTCTCTCAAACTGAAAACTTTCCACCTTGTGATGTCATGTGGTAATACAGGAAGTGGTCCACTCACAGATACATACAACATACACCTTCACTTTCACAATTTCAGCCCACAATGTTCAATCTCCAATGAACTGAATAAAAGGTAATAGCTGTTAACTTGAAAACTACCATATCATGACATCACAACGTGGAACAGAGCATTTTGAGCTTTGGAGATGTTGACAGACTAATAATAAAGGATTACTCAAACATGTGTGAATGAAACTCCAGGTCTGTTTTTGAGGAGGTAACAACATTATAACACAACTTAAAGCTCACAAGAGTTACTTGTGTGTAATATAAGGCCTTTAAAATGACAAAGGACCCAGTGAGTACCACCAGAAGAAACCCAAGAAGCACTAGATTGCACTAAAGGATGGGTCAAACGTTAAGAACTTCCCCACGACTTGAATATAGAGTAACCTATACATTAGAGCAGAGGTGGGACCAAGTCAATGTTTGGCAAGTCTCAAGAAAGTCTTAAGTCTTTAACCTCAAGTCCAAGTCAAGTCCCAAGTCAAATACAGACAAGTCCAAGTTGAGTCTCAAGTCATTGTCCCATTAGTCCAAGTCAAGTCCAAGTCGTCTGCTTTGAGCTTCAAGTCATTTCATGTCTTTAAACCAAAGAACCAAATAGAGGTTCGATTTTTGCAGATTATATACATTTTAAGATAAATTGTATTGTAAAGTTCATAGTATATTTATGAGTATTTATAGAGTATGCAAGAGTTGTAGAAAGGCTATTTTTTCTTTTTAAACATCTTGACAAGATCTTAGTGTAAATCATTACTGTCAGACTAGAAAGAATTCATATTTAAAAGTGCTTCTTAAGCCTTCATAAGTCACAGGCCTCAAGTCCGAGTCAACTCCCAAGTCATTATCAAGTCAAGCCTCAAGTCCTAAAAATAGTGACTCAAGTCTGACTTGAGTTTAAGTCACAACTTGCTCTGCATCAGTGTAACCAGACGTCTCTATTTACCCGGACAGTCCCAGTTTTAAGAGCTGTGTCCCCTGTCCAAGGAGATTTACACAAAACCACTGATTTGTCCCAGTTTTGTTCAAGAAATGTCCCAGGTGTCCCTATTTTGGACGAATGTGTAACCTGCCAACAGTAGAGAGACATACATTGTTATCTGTTTCGGTAAAATACAGAAAAGCTGCTTAAAAATGACAAAAACAATGATAATGTGACTATACTGACTCATGTTCGTCATGAATGGTCTCTGCAGTTTACAGTTTACCTTAATCACGCACTTTCACACAATTGTATTATTACCAAGCACTAAAAAAACAGGGATGTCCCAGATTGTTCTTTTGAAAATCTGCTCATCCTACTACACATTCAGTGCACAGATATTGTAGGTATAGATATTGTACAGCCGGTGAGGTTTACGTGCACAAATGTTTCAAATACACATGAACGTAAAAGAATTGAACCAGCACCTTTAAGTCAAACCCCACGTGCACAAGGACGAGGTGTAGAAAAGCTCGTTCCGATCAGAGAAAAGAGGAGGAGAGAAAAAGATGTATAAAGATGGATGTAAACATGTGGAGTTTTCCCGCAAGAAACATGAGCCCGAACCAGGAAGAGCTGCGTGATGACGTCACCTGTGCGTACTATCAGGCGCGTTCAAAACAGAGAAATGTCGCCCCCTGCTGGACGAGAACAACAGGTGAATCCAGGTCAAATTGTTCTGATGTTTTTATTTTAATGTATTTATTTTTTTATTTAAAATATTCAACAATGTAAAATATATATAATATGAAAGAATACTGCTTAATACTTAAAACCAGGACTAATCCAGGACTGAACCAAGACTTAACCAAGACTAAACTAGGACTGAATCAAAACTGAACTAGGATTAAACAAGGACAAAACCAGGACTAAACCAGGACTAATTCATGACTAAACAAGAGCTAAATAAACCAGGACTAAACAAGGACAAAACCAGGACTAAACCAGGACTAAACAAGGACTAAGGACTAAACCAGGACTAAACCAGAACTACACCAAGATTAAAGAAGGACTAGAACTAAATCAAGACTAACCAAGAATTAAACCAGGACTGAATCAGGACTAAACCAGAACTGAACAAAAATTTAACCAAGACTGAACCAAAACTAAACCAGGACTAAACAGCATTTTTTGAAAACACAGCTTTTTATTATGTGATATCACATAAGCATTGCAAAAGAAAACAACAAAATAATTTAAACAGTCAAACACATTTGTCACTCAGTGGAGTCAAACATGTTATTTTATTTATGACATATTCTGTGTGAATAATGTTCAGCCCAGTTGGTCCATGAGGGCCAGCAGCTCGTCTCCTTTACTGCAGGTTTCACTTTCTTGTTTTTCTTGTTTTTCTGTGAACTGTCCCAAGATGTGAGCCAACTCTGAGGACGCCCCCACGTCCTGCACACACACACACACACGCACGCACACACACGCACGCACATACATACACACACACACGCACACACACACACACGCGCATGCACATGCATACACACACACACACACACACATAGATATACACACACACACACAAACACACACACACACACACACACGCACATACACACACGCACACACACACACGCACGCACACGTACACACACACGCACACACACACACGCACACGCACACACACGCACACACACACACACGCATGCACATGCATACACACACACACACATACACACACACGCACACACATACACACGCATGCACATGCATACACACGCACACACATACACACACACGCACACACACACACGCACACACACGTACACACACGCACACGCACACACACACACACACACACACACGCACACACACACGCACACGCACACACACACACACACACACACACGCACGCACACACACACACGCATGCACATGCATACACACACATATACACACAGATGTGATATATACATGTCAAAAAAGAACACAGTAAAAGAACACAGTAGTAATACGCTTAAAAAAGAAGAAATATACAGAAAATAAAACGATGAAACAGAACCGTGCTTTTGTTCGTGCACATGTGGTTGTACCTGCGAGGCCTGGATGTTGATGACTCCGCTCCACGGCTCCTCGGCTCCTCCCACGGCTCCTCTGAAAACAAAATCATACACACAAGTACTGCACGTTACAACAAATACACACAACTGTACATTACACTGTGCATTGTGTAACTTTTATGGTGAAGCATCTGTCAAACGCTTTTCTATTATTGCTTTGTCTGGAATGTTTCACAGTGTGGCATTAAACCTTTCTATCTTCATGGAGACCAAACCAGACCAAATGACAGGTCAGATCTGTGGAGAGGCGACCCCGCTCACAGTCAGAATGTCTGTTATTCCAAGTATTTTTGAATTATAAAACCTGCACCTATAATAGAATAAATATAAAGAAGAGCTGTTTAATGTCACACTGTGGAACATTCCAGACAGAGCAATGACGTATCCATAGAAACAAGAAGGTGACGTACCGCCAACCAAAAAGACTAAACCAGGACTAAACAAAGACTACACCAGGACTAAGCCAGAACTGAACCAAGACTAAACCAGGACTAAACCAACTCTAAACCAGGACTAAACCAAGACTAGACCAAAACTAAACTAGGGACTAAACCAGGACTAAACCAGAACTGAACCAGGACTAAACCAAGACTAAACCAGAACTGAACCAAGACTAAACCAAGACTAAACCAGGACAAAACCAAGTCTAAACCAGAACTAAACCAGGACTAAACCAAGACTAAACCAGGACAAAACCAAGACTAGACCAAAACTAAACTAGGGACTAAACCAGAACTGGACCAAGACTAAACCAGGACTAAACAAAGACTAAACCAGGACTAAACCAGGACTTAACCAGGACTAAACCAGAACTAAACCAAGTCTAAACCAGGACTAAACCAGGACTAAACAAAGACTTAAACCAGGACTAAACCAGAACTAAACCAAGTCTAAACCAGGACTAAAACAGGACTAGACCAAAACTAAACTCGGGACTAAACCAGGACTAAACCAGAACTGAACAAAGACTTAACCAGGACTAAAACCAAGACTAAAACGGGACTAAATCAACAACATCTCCATAGAAACAATCAGGTGACGGACCCCCAGCTGAAAAGTGACATAGTGCAGCTTTAGGTAAATTGAATTACTACTGACTAATATTAGAAGTAGTAGTAGTAGTAGTAGTAGTAGTAGTAGTAGTAGTAGTAGTAGTAGTAGTAGTAGTGGTAATAGTAGTAGTAGTAGCAGTATGTACATGTACCCATTAACATAAAGACTGCTGGTTCAATATCTGCAACTTCCATTGTGTCCTTGAGCAAAACACTTATGTAATGAATGATTTGCCTAAAATTGCTCAAATAAATGTGCATGTAATAAAAATAAAAAAGTAAAAAGAGTTCAGAGTTAGTCGTGGGTAAAAGTGCTTGTGATATTTATTGTACAGTAAAAAGTTTGTAGGTTGTCGGTTCAATTCCAGGTAACTCTGATGATTATGAAAGTGCTTACGCCTCATCCTCCTCTTGGTCGCTGGGGAACAGGTTGATCCTAAAACTCTTCTCTGGACCAGGTCTAGACCCAGACTCGGACTGGGACTGGGACTGGGACTTGAGGGTCCCCATGAGCCGTGACAGAAGGTTCAGCTCCTCTTTGGCCAGCAGGTTTGGTCTGGACTCAGTCTGCACACAGGAAAAGAAACATTCAGGATTATTTGTTTTTATTCAAGAAAAGAGTTCAAGAAGATCTAAACCAGGACCAGACCAGGACTAAACAAGAACTAGACTAAGACTGCTACTAATATTGGATTAAAACTGGATAAAACTGGAATTGTCCCAGCTCAGGACTAAACCAAATCTTAACTTGGACTAAACTAGGACTAAAGTAGGTCTTAATTAGAACTAAACCAGGATTGAATCACCAGGACTAAACCAGAACTAAACCAGGAAATAAACCAGAACCAAAGTGGGACTAAAACAAGACTAAACCAGAACTAAATCAGAACTGAAATAAGACTAAACCTGGACTAAACCTGGACTAAACCAAGACTAAGCCAGAACTAAACCAGGACTAAACTAGGGACTAAACCAAGACTAAACCAGGACTAAACCAAGACGAAACTAGGGACTAAACCAGGACTAAACTAGGGACTAAATCAAGACTAAACCAAGACTAAACCAGGCACTAAACCAGGACTAAACCAGAATGAAACAGGACTAAACCAAGATTAAACCAGGGACTAAACCAAGTCTAATCAGGGACTAAGCCAGGACTAAACCAGGACTAAAACAAGACTAAACCAGATTTAAACCAGGACTAAACCAGGGACTAAAGCAGGACTAACCCAGGACTAAACAAAGACTAAACCAGGCTAAACAAGAGCCAAACCAGGACTAAATCAGAACTGAACCAAGACTAAACCAAGTCTGATCAGGAACTAAACCAGGACTAAAAGGACTAAAACAGGACTAAACCAAGACTGAACCAGGACTAAACCAGGACTAGGTGGGCTGTTGGTCTCTGGATCAGGAGAGAAGGGAAATGAAGGTGATGACATTGGCTGGTGGTTCTGTTACATAAGTAGGTTGTCCTGAGTTTACCTTTGCAGCTGGAGTTTTGGAGGTGTGTGTCTCCTCAGGGTTCACCATTGTGTATCTGAAACAATCATAAAACACAACTCTGTACACACACCCTCCCACCCATCAAACAAACAAACACCGCTCATCTACGGCTGGGTCTGGACACGTTTAAGATTCTGTTCCCACAAACTCGGGGCTTTTAAGGACACGCCAGGAAAGAGAGAGGAGCAGAGGAGAGGGTCAGAGGAACAGAGAACAGGGTCAGAGGAGCAAAGGAGAGGATCAGAGGAGGGTCAGAGGAGGAGCAGAGGAGGGTCAGAGGGTCAGAGGAGCAGAGGAGAGGGTCAGAGGAGGAGCAGAGGAGGGTCAGAGGAGGGTCAGAGGGTCAGAGGAGCAGAGGAGAGGGTTGGAGGTGAGAGGAGCAGAGGAAAGGGTCAGAGGAGGATCAGAGGAGGATCAGAGGAGGGTCAGAGGAGGGTCAGAGGGTCAGAGGAGGGTCAGAGAAGCAGAGGAGGAGCAGAGGAGCTGAGGAGGGTCAGAGGAGAAGGTCAGAGGAGGATCAGAGGGTCAGAGGAGCAGAGGAGAGGGTTAGAGGTGAGAGAAGCAGAGGAAAGGGTAGGAGGAGGGTCAGAGGAGAGGGTCAGAGGAGGGTCAGAGGAGAGGGTGAGAGGGTCAGAGGATGTCTTACATGTTTAAGCCCAGTTTGAGGACTCTGTCTCCGTACAGATCAAAACTTCCCTCTCTGATCGCGCTGGTGTAGTCGCCCCCTGTAGGAAACTCCCAGCGCCGCAGCTCTCGGCCTCTGCAGTCCAATACTCTGCACAAACATCACATTTGCTGTTAACAAGGTAAAGTTCAAACATACAGATTTTACTATTTATCCAATCAGAAAACAGAATGAGCCTCACATGACTCGCCCATTTGTGTTGCCAGGTTCAAAGTTGAAATCCAGTGTGTTTAAACCTAAAACGTCTCTCTGATCTAAATGGTCTCTACCTCTGCAGCTCAAGGAGGGAATTCTGGAGGTTCTGATCTTCACATGAGGTGTGAACATAAACTCAGTGTTGGGAGTGTTACTTTTAAAATGTAATCCCCTACAGATTACAGATTACATACCCCAAAATGTACTTTGTAACTTAATCCTTTAAATTACTTAAAGTGAGTAATGTAATCTGAATACTTTGGATTACTTGGTTTGCTGTAGAGAAGCAAAGACTAGGAAATAAGATGTTTTATCTGCTAAAAGAAAATAAAAAGTCCAGATTTTACTGAACCAAATAAAAAATATTATTGATAGAAGAAGAGGACACACGTCCACACAGCAGGATTTAGTTCTGTTTAGTCCTGTTAAATCCTGTTAGATCCTGGTTTAGACCTGTTTTAGACCTGGTTTTAGACCCTGGTTTAGACCCGGTTTTGTCCTGGTTTTGTCCTGGTTTAGTTCTGATTTCGTCCTGGTTTAGTCCTAGTTTAGTCCTGGTTTTAGTCCTGGTTTAGTCCTGGTTTAGTCCTGGTTTTAGTTCTGCTTTCGTCCTGGTTTAGTCCTGGTTTAGTTCTGGTTTAGTCCTGGTTTAGTTCTGGTTTAGTTCTGGTTTAGTCCTGCTTTAGTCCTGGTTTAGACCTGGTTTAGTTCTGATTTCGTCCTGGTTTAGACCTGGTTTAGTCCTGGTTTAGACCTGGTTTAGTCCTGGTTTAGACCTGGTTTAGTTCTGGTTTAGACCCGGTTTAGTCCTGGTTTAGTCCTGGTTTAGTTCTGGTTTAGACCCGGTTTAGTCCTGGTTTAGTCCTGGTTTAGTCCTGGTTTGTACCTGATGAGTCCTGGGACCTGGACTCCTTGAGGCACTGGTCCACTTGTGCCCAGGACAAAACGCCCGTTGGGATTCTGGATCTGAGTTTTCAGGAAAAAAGAAACCTGAAAAAGAGACACTGATTTAGCATAATATACATGAAAAAACAAAACAAAACAAAAAAACGGCTGAAATTACAGTTTTCTTTTTTTCTCCAAGACTTGATTATCTGTAGCTGAGGATCTTAACTGACTCACTCTGATGTGGAAGTCCTCAAAGAAGTTGAGCAGAGTGTGTCTGAGCAGCTGCAGTTCTCCTGGAGACAGACTCGTGTACGCCTCAACACAAAATAAAAAGATTACCATCAATGTCATTTCCAAACATCTGGATTCAACACTGCTTTAGTTTTGGTTTGGTCCATAGTAGACCGACATGATCTGGTGGGATCTCAAGGACCTAGTTGGCCTAAGTTCATCCATACTTAGTCCTGACCTCTATGACTCTGCAGTGAGTATCGTGGACCTGGTTTAGTCCTGGGTTCATCCTAGTTCAGTTCTGCTTTAGTCCTTATTTAGTTTTGTTTAGTTCTAGTTTAGTCCTGGTTTATTCTTGGTTCAGTCCAGCTTCTGTCCTTGTTCAGTCCTTGTTTAGTCCTGGTTTAGTTCTGCTTTTGTCCTTCTTTAGTCCTGGTTTAATCTTGGTTTTAGCCCTGGTCTACTCCTGGTTT